ACCAAAAATATGAATAGTGTCCATTAAGTAGTGTTTCTTAGCAGTCTGGCTTGGAAATGCTAACATTTATATGACCTCCTTCGCTCTTGTGCTCTGAAGAATTTGAGTAATGCAGAATAGCAGAAAGAAATTTATTGGTTTGATTGACTGTGAGTTTGTTGGGTTTGGAACTGTGGAACCTTGCGCTATGAATACTTCCACCACCTAAAAGGCATTTTCCCCATGTCCAAGACCCTAGCCAGTCATTTGAACCTGTGTCTAAGACCTCCGGATTAGTTAGTGATGACACCCATTTATGTGAACTCTAACATTTAGAGGCTGCCGTCATGGTGAAGAGACGTTATGGATTGAGAGAATAAGTATGCGCATTTTTTGCATCAAATTGTCCTGACCCCACTGGTCGAGAGTGAGCGATTCATTTCCTTGTTCTTTACACTCTTTACCACGGTGAGGACCTAGATGGCTCGGCCTTGATTCTGATGTCTTGAGTTTTATGCATGAGCTGACTGTCTTGAATAAGTGGTTGAGTCAAGTCTAGGTTGGTTGGTGAACAAAAGGGAGACTCTTCCTTTACCCGATTTTGCTGCACTCGAATGTCCTCTGTGGTGGTCATCCAGGTTGCTGTTGAAGTTGTTCATATGTTGATGTCTAAATGCCAGTATGATTCCCGTGTTTCGTACCTATATTATATGTCCACAAGGGTTTCATGATTAAGATGTTTTGAGCTTACCTTGTATCTGACTTGGTTTGCTTGGGGACAAGCAAACGGTTAAGTGTGGGGGAATTTGATAACGTCGTATTTGCACATGTTTGCACCCTCGTTTCTTGATCATTTTGGCTTGATTTTTTGCTTTCTTGGACTATTTTATGCTAGGTTGTGTTAATTTGTCACATTTCAGGTCATAGCATGTAAATTGAAGCAAAGGCGCAAGTTTCAAGTCAATTGGAATTCATTTGGCAATTCGGGAAAAGAAACACGAGCATGACCTGAGAAAGAATGGACTTCTACCTCATATTATGGACAAATATTCATGTAATATTTTCATGAAAATAAAGAGGACGAGACTACGAGCGTCTGGGATCAAACGACGACTGATTCGGAGTCCGGACGAGGGAGAAACGAAGCATTAAATAGGGGCGGAGGAAGAATTACAGGCAGGAGAATTACGACCGTATTTTCCCCTCCCATGCCCGTATTTTCACTGCCGAGAGGAGCTTTGGATGCGCTGAAACTTAACCAAAACGCGTGTTTTGGGCAAAATACGGGCATGGAAGAATTACGACCGTATTTCTGCCCGTATTTCGCCGAGAATCAGGTTTTTGAAGCAGATTCGAGCCAAAGAAAAGGGAGAGCTGGGTTTTTGAATCCCAAACACCCAAGGGGCGAATCCTAGAGAGAGAGCAGCTTGGGAACATTCTTGAAGCTATTTTGGAGGATTTCTTCGCCACTGGAGCTCGGGAATCAAGCTTGGAGATGGAGATTGAAGATCTAGATCAGATTTCTGCAGTCTCTCTCTTCTCTATGGAGTAACTTCCCTTCACTTAGGTTTTGAGGAACCCTAGTTCCATGTGTTAGGATCTTTCTTGTATGAAGTTTTGGATGCTATATTGTTTGATTATAATCGATTGAGGCATGATTTATTGAGTCAATTGAATCTTGATCAAATTCTCTTGATTTCTGCTTTAACCTATGATAGATAGAATCTGATTAGGTTAAGAGAGCTTTCTTGATTGATGGTGGTGAATTGGTTATACAAGAATTAGTCAATCTACTGCTTTGTACTGGAATCCAATTCCGGTAGTAGAGTTCTGTGTTCATAGCCTCAGCTTTCTATCCCGGTGAAGGTTAGTCGCCTACCGGGTAGTTGGACTGAGAGGGCTTGGTCTGTTGGTCAGCTTAAGAGATTCCAAGCTACTGTCGGATCTTCCGCAGTTTAATCAATAATAGATCAACCAAAGGTAATTGCAACTTGGACCTAATTGAGGAGCTAGGGGGAATCATACCTAAGTGAGTTCACAACTTGTAATTAGTAGAGTAGTCAGTAGAGTAGTTTATAAATCAATCCTTAATCTAGTTTGCTAGATAATGAACTGAAGCTGAGTAATAGTAACTCTAGAGACCCGTGGATTCGATATTTATTACTTGTGCCACTATACTGCAGTCCCTTTCATTGGTTACACTTGGCCATTGTTAGGTGTTGTGTTTTAGCGTGTCAAAGACGGATTTCTGCTCGTATAAAAAAAAATTAAACTCATTCATCTACTTTATGATAAGCTTTCATCACGGAAGCAAGAATTAAGAATCGATGCAAAGTAAACTTTCCACGCCCAAATTATATATGGTTTAGTTTAGCGAAAGGGACAGCATATGTTCGCTTGTTCTCTAATAATTGCAAAGCTGCCAAAGCATTTGTTTGGCTTCTTAGGAGGGCAATGATCGACCTTTCCAAGCCATCAAATATATATAATTTTAGACCGCCATGAAGCCAGCCAACACCGCCCTGCATGAGCCCAACTACAAAAGAACCAAAAATTACAAGCCAAAACTAATTGTTCTTCGCATCAGTTCTAACTTATTATTCTAAGTTTTGGAATTCTAAAAAAAATTAATAAATGTTTTGGTATTTTTAGAAACATACCCTATATACCATATATCATACTGATGTGCACATATGAGGTCATTTGAACGATGGTTGATTTCATCTTAATTGTGAAATTATGAACTTGATCAAATGTGAATTATTTGTTATTTGCATAGAAGACAACTGATTTGTCTTCCCTAGAAGAACAATAAGATCATAAACCGTAAAAGTATTCATTTTAAAAGGAGAAAGTTGAATCTCTAGTAAGTTTTGGGGAAATGCTCACATATATGTAACTTTGTCCTTTATATTTGTACTTAATAGTAAAAACAAAGACAACTCTTGATTTTTAATGGACAAAGTAAAAACAAATGTGAAGACAAGTTGATAAGATCCTATGAAATCTTAGGCTCTCTTGATTAAAGTCACGCATCACAATCTTTAGTGTTTTCTGGATTTTCTCTCAACAACTCGAAAAGTAAAGGATATGGCAGAATTGCCGTGCAACTTCAACACAAAATCGGGAAGAGGCTCGAACAATATAATGGATAGCAACTCGACTACAATCAAGGGTGGGTACTTCATTGCTACAGAGTTCGCTCGAATGCTAGAGATCCACCAACAAACAAGGACAAAATTCAAGAGTAAAAAACTCAATGAACCGAAAATGAGTTTTTTCTCTTCAACATAATCTGCTCAAATTCGTGTCTTACAACCCTTTAAATAGGTATGAAAAAATAAACCTAATGAAAACACCAAAAAGGAAAAGAGTCCTAAACAAAAAAGGTAACAAAACTCGTCAGGTCAAATTCCACGGTCTCCTTCTTGAATTCCACGGTCGTTGATTTGGGTGTCTTGGGCGTGGAATTGTTCTGATCAAAATCCTTTGTTTGAACTTGGATTCCACGGTCGTGGAATTTGGCTTCCTGGCCGTGGATTTTTGACTGGTCACCATACCATCTTCATGCTACTCGTTTGGTGTCCATGAAGCTTCAAATCGATCATCCAACGTTTTCACAATACTTAGAAACACTTTTACTTTCATCTCCAACTCCTACATTTCCTCGGATATCTCCCAAACAAAAGAGTAAGCCTCCAAAGTAGGTACCACGAAGGCACAAACTGATTCACAGACTTAGCCAGATTTCCAACTTCGCCTTTCCTTGACTTGGTTTCTTCTTTGAACATCAATGAGAATGGTTTTAGGCCACAATGTAGGATCACATCAGACCCTCCTGTTGAAAAAGCTTTGCCCTTAAAGCGTGAAGAGTCATACATCTCATTTCTTGATCAAAATCGGAAATTTTATAATGGTGAGTAAATAAGAAATATTCGAAATGGAGAGTAAATAAGGAATCAAAATAATATATAATGGTGGATCTTTATAGAATTTTCAGCAATAAAAAAATCCTTCCATTCCAGTGAGGGCATATTCGAATATGCTTTGAGCTTCTTCCCTACATATCCTAATCGGAAATTTTACTATTTTGTCGAGTGGAAAGCCGATTCGTTGGGCGGAATAAGCAGAGAAAAGAAGGAGAACACTTTTTTATTCAAAAGCGAAGGAAAAAGCTACTCGACCAAAGCAAGAGAAGGAGGAGACTTTCCCGTAGTTGGCTCAAAGGTCACTCTTTACGTATAATTATTTTCATTGTCATTTGATGGTGCTCTTTTCATGGCTGAAATAATATTTGATTGTTCAAGGTTTTTTAAAATTTTTAATAACCAATTTTTTATGGGTACTAACTAAAAATTAAGTTTTCATAGGAAAATAATATTATTGGATTTTTTTTTTGCATGAAAGGGGAGAGTGGATAGAAACTTAAACCGTTTACCGCAGACCAATTTAATCGCATACCATATTACTCTTATACAAGTTGTACCAATCATTAAAATATTGACCAATCAATTAAGTCTGACTTCTGAGCACATAATTCATGTCAAAACAATATCAAATATTCACTTTATGAAAACAAGAAACACATAAATTTGAAAAAAAAGTTTAAAATTTACTTTGATTTGAAAGATTTGGGGTTTAATGTCAGGGTCTACAGTTTCCATTATACAACTACTTCACAACCCATAAAGTTCTGTATGACATTAATTTCACTTGTGATTTTCATCGATAGGACTTCAAACTTGAAAAAAATAACGATAAGCTCGCAATTACTGTCTATACAGGGAAATTGTGAGACCTACCACTTCTCCAAGTTTTATATATTGAGAACTAGGGTTGTCAGTTGGTCGGTTTCGGTTTAACCAAAAACCGATTGCTCGGTTATCGGTTAAGCCGAAACCATGACTGTGCCTTCCGCTAACCGACCGCCCTACAGGCGCGGCTAACCGCCGACCGACCGACCAATTTTTGGTTTCGGCTTGGTTTAACTGTGACCACGAAAAGGAAGGCCGGTTTGCTTGATGCGGCCGCCGGCGGGGGAAGGACGCGGCGCCGCGGCGGTTGGATTCGGCAGGAGACAGCGGGCGGCGCGGCAGGAGATGGAGACGGCTGCGCTGCGTCTGCGTGTCGCGACTCGCGACTGTTGGAGGCGGAGGGAAACGGCGGGGTGCTGGAGGAGGGGCGGTGAGGGTGGCCGGTGCTATGGTGAAGGGCGGCGACGGTGAGGGACGAGGGTGGTGACTGGCGGATCTGCGCGTCGCACGAGAAAGGGGGAGGCAGAGGCAGACTGTGTCGACTCGAGGGGTTGGCGGCTGGGAAGTAGGAAGGAGGAAGGAAGGTCGCAAATTAGGGTTGGAGAGGGGGTCGTTTTGGGTGGGTTGGAGCGTCGTTTGCTTTGGGGGAAGGGGTCGTTTTGGGCGCGGTTGCGGGGTCGTTTTGAGTCAAGTGGAAGAGAGTCGGTTAGCCGGTTAAATGGCGGTTACCGACCACGGTTAATCGGCTAGCCGAGCCCCTCCACCTCTCCCCCGGCAACCGACCGACGACAATAAAGGATGGTTTTCGGTTAGCCGAAAACCGGTCGGTTCGGTCATAACCGACCGGTTAAGTGCTAACCGAAAACCGTTCTGCCAACCCTATTGAGAACATATTTATACTTTTGCAAGATTAACATTCTCCTTTATCAGTTATTGAATAAAAGTAATTATTTCATTTTGATATTTTTTTTTGTCTCAAACTGGTCTTTCTTGCAATTTCAATTTTTGGACTTTTCAAACCCGGACAGTCAATCAAGTGAAAAAGAGTTCCAACCGAGATATCTTCTTATTTGACTACATAGTAATGGTAATCGAATTCTGTTCCAAAAAAAAAAAAAGGTAATCGAATTTCATGGTTATGGGTCTTTTTTTTTTTTGTCTGGGTTAATTGATTTTTTTTAATTTGAGTAGAGGAAGCTCCACCAAATATCAGTTGTAGCTACATATATAAGCACGTAATTCAGCTATTAGACTCTCTTTATCTCACTCTTCTATTATACGTGGCTGAAATAGATCATATTAGGTCAATTTCGTATAAAGTCAAAAATTGAAAAAAGTCTAATGAAAAATCTCAATCAAGTATGTAAACCAAGTACGAAAAGTGTACATAAAAAGTTGAGTATTGTGACGAATAAACACCTCATAATTAAAGTCAAAATAGGGAAAACTTTTATTTTTTATTAATACTATATTGAAAATTTTGCATTGAAATTTATTAACGACACAAATCTTAATTGGAATAATTTATGAAATAATAATGCTAAAGCTAGCATTAAAAGAACTTGGCGACTGCTGGTGCAAATGGGTAATGGAACTTGGCGGTACTGTCCCCGGACTGCTAATGAAGTTGCGCACTTACTAGCAGGAGGAGACGATTTGGAATGAAAGAATGGTATAGCTAGAGAGGCCCCCAGCTTTTGTTAATGACCAGCTCAAGCTGGACTCTGTAATGATTCCAGTTCATTAATAAAAGCACCCTCTAGATTTCTATAAAAAGGGGGGGGGGGGGGGGGGGGGGGATAGAGAGAGATGGAGAAGCCAGCACGGTGGGAGAGAACAGGAAGGAAAGAGACGAGAAATGAAGGGAACCCGGTGATGATGCCAAAATATTGAAATAAGGAAAAATTACATAAAAGGTAACTGTCAATTAATCCTAATTATGGAAATCGCATATTTGAATATGCCTACAGTCTGTTTTAGATGTGAGGTTAATCTAGAGGGTGTATAGAATCAGGGTGAGAATGCACAAGAGGAAGTGAGCTTTATATTGAATCATAAACAGGTTGTTGAAACATCTCTCCATTTAGTTCGAGTCCATCATGTTTTAAGGTGAATGATGGCTTTTTAGATATGGTTCGCTCTTCTGTTTTATTTGCTCCTACATCAATAAGGAGCCCAACTGCTAGTTTTGTGGATGTGGTCAAAGGAACACCAGCTATAGCTGGGAGTACTAACCCCCTTCTACAATTGTCTGAGGATTTTAACTCACTAGATAATTCTGGGAGGTTAGAGTCTCAAGCCACTCCAGTTGGTAAGGAGAACAATAGGAATCCTTGGATTAATGTTGGTACTCAGCAGAAGAAGCCAAAAACACCATTCATAGCCCCTGCTAGGAAAGGGGGGAGGGGAGGTAGGAAACGATGGAGATATTAACTTGGAATACTAGAGGGTATAAAGATAAAGATAAGAATAAAGTTGTACATCTTATAGTGAATATAAGACAAGTAGATATAGTTGCTATATTAGAGCCAAGAATAAAAGCCGAGTTAGAGGAGATCATTCAGAAGAGGTTTGTAGATTGGGGAAAAGAAGTGGCTAACAATAACAGTGGTCTGGGAAAGATTTGGTTGATTTGGAAGAAGGATGTGAATTTCAAGTTGTTGGATAAGTCATATCAATTTATCCATGCCTTGGTAAGCTTTGGTCCACCTTTCTTCATTGCGTTTGTTTATGCTTCAAATGAGGAAGCTAAGAAGGATTCTTTATGAGCAGCTTAGTAAGATTAAAGTGAAAAATGTTCCTTGGGTAATACTTGGAGATTTCAATGCAATTTCTAGTCTCGTTGAATCCTCTAATTTCCCTGGTTATACTGGTAGTATGGAGGACTTTAAGTCATGGCAGAATCAAGTTGAAGGGGTAACCATAAGACCTCTGGACCCTAGTTCACTTGGATAAATGAACAGTCTGGTAACCTCATATCAAGAAGATTTGACAATGTCTTTGTAAATCTAGAATGACTAGATAAACTTCATAATAGCATTGTGGATTGATTAGATCTCTCAGTATCAGATCACTGCCCTATTCTTCTTAATACTGATAGTACCATTAAATCATTACCAAAACCTTTCAAGTTCCTTAAGCTCTGGATTTCGCATCCTAAATTTTTTGATTTCGTCAGAGAAGCTTGGAATTCAGAGGTAGAAGGATCCCAGATGGAGAAAGTCTGTAGAAAGCTACTAGTCCTCAAGAAGTTGCTGAAAGTTCTGAACAAAGAAGAATTCTCAGACTTGAGGGAGAGAGTCAAAATGAAAGAGGCTGAACTTCAGTATGCACAGGCTGCTACTCTATCTAATCATTCACATGAATCATTTGAAGCAGAGAAAGAAAAAAGTTTGGAGTTTAAGCAATTGCAGTTAGCAGAAGAATATTTTCTAAAGCAAAAGTCCAGAGAAATATGGCTCAAAAAGGGGATTCCAACTCTGGTTATTTTCATAAATCAATAAGGGTTCATCTTTAGAGAAATACTATCCATTTTTTATAAATGAAGAAGGACAAAGAGTTACAGACCCTGACAATGTGTCAGATAACAGTCTCATTCTATAAAGAGCTGCCTGGAAAGAAGGATGCTTTGGTTCATGGTAAATCTATTGAATTTTATAGGGGGTTACTAAGGAAGAAACTTCAAGACTCTCAAACTGCCAAACTGTGCAGGCCTGTCACCTTTGAAGATGTAAGAGCTACAATGTTTTGGTTTAAAGGGGAAAAGAGCCCAGGTCTGTATGGGTATTCTTCTTGTTTCTTTGAAGCCACTTGGAGTATTGTGGGACAAGAGATCACTGAAGCTATCCAGTATTGCTTTTCCAGGTCAGGTTTTCCATGTGAGGTTAATTATACTCTCTTAGCCTTAATACCTAAGAGAAAGAATCTAAGGAGATGAAGTACTTTAGACCTATTTCTTGCTACAATATACTGAATAAGTGTATTTCAAAGATTATCTCGGTTAGGTTGAGTGACTCACTCCTACTGTCACTCTAGAAAATGGCCAAGTGCAACCACTTCCTAAAGCGTAGTATAGCGGGTTTGGGTTTTAATGCAAACCGAGTCCTAGATGTGATGACTACTCAGTGAATTATAATTATTTAACGGTGAAACTTTAGTGCAGGTTCAAACAAGCAAAGCAAGCAAGAAGGTTGTTTTCAAGTCGAGAGAGGTCACTCGGATATGGTTCCCCCTGCAGTTAAGCCGGATTGTAATTTACCAAGTTCAGTTTTAATGATAGTTATACTGCGGGAGGTTCTTAAACAGTCTTAAGTCTCGACTAAAGGTCCCCAACCCTCTCAATCTGAGTCTCCAGCGGGCGACTAACCTCCACCGGAGTAAACAGATTGAGGCCCTAACGAACAAAAACTCCACTACCGAAGTAACTTCGGTACAGAATAGTGAATTGGCTCCTCGACTAAAGTCGCCAATTCACCACCTTCAATCAAGGGTGCTCTATCAACCTAGGCAGATATTCTCTTTCTAGGTCAAAGCAGAAATAACAGGAATTTGATCAGGATTCATGCCATCAAATAAATCAAACCTCAATTGAATATAATCAAATCATAGAATCTGTACTTGGGTTCATACAATCAGACCTAACATACAAATCTAGGGTTCTCCATACCCAGATGAATGAGGAAGTTACTCCATGCAGAGAGAAGCAAAAGCAAGTTTAGATGCAGAAATCATGCTGTGAAGGATGGGTTTCTGCTCCTGGTCGTCAATCGGCACTTCTCCAAGTGTGAGCGAGCTCCAATGGTGATGAAGATCAAGCTAGGGCACTTGGGAACTCTGGTTCGTCGCTTTCTCTCTCTAGGAATTGCTTTCTTTCTCTAAAACTCGGAATCCCTTCTCCTTTGGCTCAAATCTGCCTAAAAAGGCCGACCCTGGGCAAAACACGGTCGAGGGCACGACCGTGTTTTGCTTTTGTCCGTCCGTGCCCTTGCCACGTGTTAAAAACACGCCCACATCTTGGGGAAACACGATGGTGCCTATAGTTGGACACGACCGTGTTTTCTGTCACTCCCGCCCGTGTTTTGGGCCAACATTGGAGCACCTTGGATCAAGCCTCGGCAGTAAAAACACGGTCCAGGAACACGACCGTATTTTGGTTTAGTCTGGCCCGTGCTTTGGCCTTCTCATCAGTTCAGCTCTCGGCATTAAAAACACTGGCGTGCTTTTTGGTGTACACGACCGTGCTCTTCAGCCCTCCTGCCCGTGCTTTGGCCCCAGCTCGACCGAATGACTTCCAAATGCCCCGAAACTCGTGCTTAGCCTTTCCTTCGACGTCTGGGACCTGAAATATGACAAAGTAGCACAACCCGGTGTAAAATAGGCCAAAAATACACGACTACGCCCCGCAAACGGATAAGAACTAGGGGTGCAAACATGTGCAATTACATCGTTATCAAATTCCCCCACACTTAACCGTTTGCTTGTCCCCAAGCAAACCAAGTCAGACACAAGGTAAGCGCAAAACGTTTTAATCAAGCAGGCATTAGGGCATGTCATATCGGCACAAAACAGGTGAATCATACTAGCTTTTGATCATTAACACATGGACAACCTCAACGACAACCTAGACAACCACCACAAATGACATTCGAGTGCAGCAAAGTCGAGCAAAGGAAGAGTCTCCCTTCTGTTCACCAACCAACATAGACTTGACTCAACCACTCATTTAAGACAGTCACTTCATGCATAAAGCTCAAGATATCAGAATTAAGACCGAGCAATCTAGGTCCTCACCGGGATAAAGAGTATAGAGAATATGAGAAAATGAATCGCTCACTCTCGACCAGTGGGGTCAGGACAATTTGATGCGAAAAATGCGCATGCTTATTCTCTCAATCCCTAACGTCTCTTCACCATGTAGGCAGCCTCTAACTGCTAGAGTTCACATATGGGGTGTCACCACTAACTAATCCGAGGTCTTAGACACAGGTTCAAATGACTGGCTAGGGTCTTGGACATGGGGAAAAGCCTTTTAGGTGGTGGAAGTATTCATAGCACAAGGTTCCACAATTCCAAACCCAACACACTCACAGTCAATCAAACCACTCTTTGTTTCTGCCCTTCTGCATTACTCACATTCTTTAGAGCACAAGAGCAAAGGAGGTCACATAAATGTTAGTAGTTCCAAGCCACACTGCTAAGAAACACTACTCAATGGGCGCTATTCAGATTTTGTGGTGGTGGCTCTCTTTTGCTTTCATTCATTTTTTTTCCATTTCTTGAGAGAACTACCACCTATGCACATTTTGCAAACACATGCCCTTTTTTATTTTTTAAGAACTACCTCCAACCCTCACAATATATTTAGCAGAAACAACAGAGAACATGAAAAAACCACTCTGTGGAACCTTCTAAAAGATGCAAAGGGGTGATTTTCATCGTAGACCGAAAGAAAGGATAACACACGGCTCAAAGGGCTGACAAGGGGGTATGACACATCAGGACAGTCAATTTGGTCGTGGGCTAATCCTATGCCTCCATCATCTTAGCTAATGACAACGTGAATGCTGCACATCATGGAAGAGGAAACTATCGCACAAGAAAGAAACAAGCAGGCTCAAGTCTCACATGGCTACCTATATGCTCTATCTCTCATTCTGATTCCCTGAACTAGATGCATAAATGACTGTCAAGAGCAAGTGATCAATCCAAGTCACAGTTGGTAAGCAAACATTCGAAAAACTGAACCCTTACATAGTTCTACTGCACATCTCAGTCATCATTATAGGCTGACCTAGTTATCAAGTTGTCATGCATTAATTCGAAAGCCATTCGATTCAACAATCAAATCCACAGTGGCAATACGATCAAACATCAAGCAAACAGCAGTACTTGGAGCCCTCAAAGCTCGAGATTTGGATAGCGGACTAGGCTCCAAGCACACATATATACGTTCCAATGAATACAAAGAACCCCCCCCCCCCCCACACTTAAATGCGACAGTGTCCTCAATGGAGCAGAGTGAAGGGGAACGATGTTACCGTGAAATGAGATCAGGAACGGGGACTGGAAGGCAGACCAGTCAATAGTAGGGGACTGGAAGGGGGACCAGTCCAAGGCACATAACTAAAGTCAACAAAATACACACACTGGGTGAAAGAACCAGAGTTCCAAGTCTACAATCCAATATAAAAAAAACAAAACAAAACAACAAAAACATGGAGTCTGAGTCTGGAAAAGAAATGAAGTGCAGAACCAGCCACTCGCCACTAGAACGCATCGCCACCATCGCCGGTGGGTGGAGGGTACTCATCCTCATACCCCGGTGATTGCACGAAGGGGTAGTGGACTGAGTTCGGGTCCAAGCCCAGGTACGACAAGATATAGTGCTGGCCAGACATAAGATGACAGCTGCGGTCCCGCTCACGATCGAGGGGGGTGTGAATGCTCTCCTGGCCGGCCAGAATGCGCTCGTTCTGCTGAGCGATGGCCGCCAACTGGTCAGAAATGGAGACCAAGGGAGCCGGAGACCCGTGAGATGGAGACCTCGGAGCAGCAGAGGGGCTCGCAGGGGTCTGGGCACGGCGAACAGTACGGCGGGGAACCCGGCGCCCCCCAGCTGTGCTCGACTCCGGCTGGTCGCCCACTGCAGGTTCAGGTGCAGGCGACCGAGGGAGACCCACAATCCATTGCAAACGCCCTTGTCGAGCAAGCATGTGCTGATGGCGGAGGGTGGCTTTGCTGAATGGGGTCGGTGCTCGGACCATGGTCATCCCAGTGATGTCGACCCCGTAGTAGCGGGCTAGGGCGGTGATCACCGGGCCACAGACAAGGTGGCAATCCTGGTTGGCGGAGGCTTTGGTGAATGTCCGGGTGAGCACAGATCCCATCACGATGGTGTCCTCAGAGTGACCCATCGCATGCATGAAGAACAGGGTCCGGAGGGTGACCCGGCCGAGCCCCGGCTGGGGGTGTAGGACTGGGTGAGCAAGTGGCTGAGGATCTGCCACTCCTGACGGAGGAGAGTGGCCCGCGTCTGGCTGGCAACGTATCGCTCATCCACATAGTTCGGTATGCAGATGCGCTGGAAGTAGGCATGGTCAGCAAAGTCGGTGGGATCTGTCACCTCCACGATCATGGGCCGGTCGCTCGGGTGCGGGGAGTTGAGCCGAAGTGTAGTGGACAACTCCCAGTAACTGATGGAGTGCTCCACCACGCCGAGCGTGAAATGTACCGCATCAGAATAGGAAGTGGTTGCACTTGGCCATTTTCTAGAGTGATAGTAGGAGTGAGTCAAGTTTTTGGCGTCGTTGCCGGAGACGGCTAGGTTGTTGAAGAAACGTGAATTCTATTAATTTAGCTTTTCGTTTTAGCATTGTTTGCTTTGTCACACTTGTGCCTTCACGGGTTTGCTTGCTTAACTGTGTGTAGGTAGTGCATGACCCGTAGCGAGTCAGGAGGTTTACTGCCGTTGGATCCGGAGCTTGAACGCAACAGTCGCCAACTTAGGAGACAACAGTGAGCTAGACTGGCTACGGAGGAACGCATAGACGGCCACTTGGGCAGCGATTCTGAGGAAGAGTACGAGATGGAAGGAGAACACAACCCACACCAGGGGAATCCTCTCCAGGTTCCCCCGGTGAATCAGATCTTGGGGAACAACCCCATACCCCAGGCAGATGGGGTTCATCATCATCCACCGCCGCCGGGTCCCACGTTGGAGTACTACTACACTCCACATGTTGCTGATATCCGCCCTGTCATCCTCTACCCACCCATTCCAGCGAACAACTTCGAGATCAAGCCATGTTGGATTCAACTCATTACATCATCTGTCCAGTTTCATAGCTTGAAGGATGAGGAGGCAAGGGTGCACCTGTCCCATTTCCTACAGCTGACGAACGGGTTCAAGCTGAACGGCATCCCTGATGATGCAATCCGCCTTCACCTCTTCCCCTATTCTCTGGCGGGGCATGCTAAGAGGTGGTTGGAGACCCAGCCCCCATTGTCCATCACTTCTTGGGACGATCTGGCCAACAAGTTCGTACACAGGTACTATCCGGCATCAAAGACCACAGAGATCCAGCGGCAGATCACTCACTTCCGTCAAGAGCCAGATGAGTCACTTCGTGATGCATGGGAGCGATATATGTGATTTTTTTGGAAGTGTCCCCATCATGGCTTTAGTGATGCATCCACAGTGGGGAACTTCTACAATGCTCTCTCTCCGGAAAAGCTAGAGGGTGATTGAGTCTCTATGCCCAGGATTACTAAGACTCCACCCGAACTGAACCAGATGATCAGTACATTGGCTGCCAGAGATCATTCCTGGTGGCAGAGCAGCAGAGGCAGGAATTATCGGGACTGTGGTGTGCACGCCATGGAGGCCAGGTCCGGGCTCGAGCAGCATGCGGCTGAGTTAATGCAGACATTGAAGCAGCCCAACTGTCTTATTCCGGGAAGAGGTCTGGGCGAACCTCCAGTAGCTCAATGTCAGTGGTGTGAGAGCTCAAATCATCTGGTGGAAGATTGCTAGGCTGTGCGGAAGTCTTCTACCCCCCAAGAGCAGTTGGACTTCATCGCCAATGCTCGGCGCCTTGACCCGTACAGCAACACATACAATGAGGGGTGGCGCCAGCATCCCAACTTCTCGTGGAATGACAACACCACCAAACCACCTGGTTTCCCAGCACCAGTAGGTGGCTTTCAGCAGAGGCAGCCTTTCCAGGCCAGACAGGGGCCGCCCCCACAGCAGCAGCCTTACCAGCCTAGGCAAGGGCAGCCATTTCAGCAGCCCCAGCGTCAGTATGCCCAGCCTCCAATAGCTGCGTCTCCAGATAATCAGATGACGGAGCTGAAAAATATTTTGCAGGTATTCATGACCACCAGCCAGGCGAATTTCACCAGGATGGATTAGAACATAGCCTCACTGGAAGCAGGCCAAAGAAACCAAGGTGCCATTTTGCAAGATCTATATAATCATATTGGTGGCATAGCTCTCCAAAATACTGCCAGGGCACCGGGGACTCTGCTTGGCACCACTATTCCGAACCCTCGTGAGCCTCACGAGCACCAGCAGCTGGATGCCATCACTAGGAGCGGCAAGACCACATCGGCTGTTCCTGCCCAGCCCAGGCAGGACGAGCCACTACCTGTTTCAACACTTCCAGCTGACAATGCAGAAGTGGGGGGGGGGGGGAATTTGGAAGCACCTGCTCCTGAGCCACAGCCAGTGGTTAAGGAGCATGTACCCCGCTTCCTTTCCCCACTCTCCTACATAAAGACAAGCTGGAGACTAAGTTTGCCAAGTTCATGGCAATGTTGAAGCAGGTCAACATCAGTATGTTGTTCGTGGAGGCACTGTCGAAGATGCCCAAGTATGCCAAGTTCATGAAAGACCTCCTCACCAACAAGAAGAAACTTGGCGATCTTTTCATAGTAATGCTGAGCGGGGAGTGTTTTGCTATACTGCAGAACAAGCTGCCCCAGAAGCGTAAAGACCCAGGGAGTTTCACTATCCCTCTTGTTATTGGCAACATGCATGTAGGAAAGTCCTTGGCGGACCTAGGCGCTAGCATAAATGCATGCCCTACAAATTGTTTAAAAAGCTAGACCTAGGTGAACCTAGATCTACTAGGATGAGCATTCAATTAGCTGATCATTCCATCATGCATCCTAGGGGTATCATTGAGGATCTGCTTGTTAATGTAGGTGCATTCACATATCCTGTTGACTTTGTTATTCAGGATATAAATGAGGATGTGGATGTACCTTTGATTTTGGGTAGACCGTTTCTCGCCACCGTCAAGGCTCTTATTGATGTGAATAGTGGTAAATTGATCCTGCGTGCTGGTGATGAACATGCTACTTTTTCTGTGTTCGAGAATGGGAAACACTCCCATTTGCATGATGACGTAGACTACTGTGATGTGCTTGCTGATTTTGAGACCGCACTCGCTATAACGAGTGCGGGTACTGACGATGCTCTTGAGCGTTGTATTTTGCTAGGTGAGCAGGCATCGCAGGAGCCGCAGCTGGCGGAGTAGTTGGCCGCGCTAGAGAGTGGCCCATTCCTGGAGGGCGACAGGCTGTTCAAACCGATCTCATCCTCACCCCGCATCACTAATTCCTTGGAGGAACCACCAGAGCTGGAGCTTAAGCCCCTCCCACCTCATTTGGAGTATGAATTTCTCCGGGAGGGGAATAAGCTTCCAGTCATCATTAGCTCGACCCTCACACCCGAGCAGAAGGACAGACTGGTGGCCTTGTTGAAGCTGCACGAGCGTGGTATAGCGTGGAAGATCACAGATATCCGGGGGATTAGCCCCTCCTTTTGCTCCCACCGGATACTGCTGGAGGATGAGATGCGACCAGTGAGACAGTCGCAGAGAAGACTGACACGGAACCTGGAGGCTGTGGTTCGGGCAGAGATTGTGAAGATGATGGACGCGAGGATCATCTTCACCATTTCCGACAGCGAGTGGGTCAGTCCCACCCAGGTGGTACCCAAAAAGGGTGGGATGACCGTAGTGCCTAACGAGAAGAATGAGCTCATCCCGATGCACACGGTGACTGGGTACCGTGTCTGCATTAATTATCGGCGTCTCAACGACGCCACTCGGAAGGACCACTTTCACCTGTCCCTTTGACACATTTTCCTACCGGAGGATCCCATTCGGGCTATGTAACGCCCCCGCCACTTTTCAGCGATGCATGCTCGCCATCTTTGACCGTCATGGTCGACGAGATTATGGAGGTGTTTATGGACAACTTCTCGGTTTATGGAGACTCATTCTCTCACTGTCTCCATAACCTGGAACTCGTCCTTAAACAGTGTGAAGAATCAAACCTGGCACTGAGTTGGGAGAAGTGCCACTTCATGGTTCGCGAAGGCATAGTTCTGGGGCATAAAATCTTCAAGATGGGGATTGAGGTGGACAGAGCAAAGATCAAGACTATCAGCAAGCTGCCTCCTCCTACATCTGTTAAGGGGATCTGGAGTTTTTTAGGCCATGCAGGGTTCTACAGGCGGTTCATCAAGGATTTTTCAAAGATCGCCCTACTCCTGACTAAGCTCCTTGAGAATAATGCCCCCTTCCAGTTCACTGATGCATGCACAGCGACATTCACGACCTTGAAGAAGAAGCTCACCCAAGCTCCTATCATGGTTGTTCCTGACTGGTCCCTGCCATTTGAGTTGATGTGAGATGCCAGTGACTTTGCTGTTGGAGCTGTCTTGGGGCAGAGGCGAGATCAACACTTCCGACCTATCTATTACGCCTCAAAGACCTTAAATGATGCCCAAGAGAACTACACCACCACGGAGAAGGAGCTGCTCGCGGTGGTGTTTGCCTTCGACAAATTTCATCCTTATCGGGTCTTGTCCCATGTGACGGTGTATACAGATCACTCTGTGATTCGATACCTGATGTGCAAGGCCGATACCAAGCCTAGGCTCATACGATGGATCTTACTATTGTAGGAGTTCGACATCGAGATTCGGGACAAGAAGGGAGCGGAGAATGTTGCAGCTGATCACCTCTCCCGGTTGGACGCACCTCCTGCGGAGAACCTCGAGGAGGAGATCAATGACTCATTCCCAGATGAGAGACTGATGATGTACCTGGTAGAGAGTGTCACCCCTTGGTACTCCGATTTTGCGAACTATCTGGTGGGCCAAAAGCTGCCCAAGGGGATGGCAACTCACACCAAGAGGAAATTCTTCTCCGACCTGAAGTATTACTTCTGGGATGACCCTCATCTCTTCAGGATCGGAGCCGACGGGATCATCCGTCGCTGTGTTATGGAGAGTGAAATGGAGGGCATTCTATCTCACTGTCATGAAGGACCTACTGGCGGTCACGACGGAGTAAACCGCACATCGAAAAAGGTGCTATAGTCGGGCTTCTACTGGCCCACGCTCTTCAAGGATGCAGACGCCTTTGCACGCAAGTGCGACCGATGCCAGAGGTCAGGTAACATCTCTACCAGTGATGAGATGCCCCAGAATGTGTTTATAACTTGTGAGATTTTTTATGTCTGGGGTATCGACCTCATGGGCCCTTTCCCTCCATCTTTTGTCAATACCTATATCCTGGTTGCTGTTGACTACGTCTCTAGGTGGGCTGAGGCGCAAGCTTTCCCCACAAATGATGCTAGACGTGTTTTTGGTTTTTTGAAGCAGCGATTCTCCCGGTTTGGGACACCTAGAGCCATCATTAACGATCTAGGCAC